TATATATATATATATATATATATATATATATATATATATGTTGGAATAGGAGGAGAGAATTATAACAGTTGTATATATAGGAGACATAAGGAATTTCGAAGCGATTCGGATTAGGCACTAATGTAAGGCCCCGAAAATTTTCATAGAACATAATTCATTATTTTATATGTTATATTTTTTATATTTTGAAAAGGTGGGGTCGAATGGGTTATATACGTTAAAATTTCAATTTTATTTGAGTCAAATATTTGGATATTGAGGAGCAATACTAAGTATGTGAATATGGGGCTCGTTAGATAAATCGTAATTAATCATGCATATTAGGCTACAAAAAAAGTCAATTCGAATAAGCGAAGCTCAAGTTATTGAGTTCAAAAGATATTGCCTTAAATTGTATTTTAGTTGACTTAGTTAATGAATTTAGAAGCTAAGGGTGACATATGAATTTAGAATCTAAGGGTGACACTTCTAGAGCACGTTTTGGTAAGTTATTAATTGATTTTTTTTAGTAAATAAAGATTGTGTATTTAAAAAAGAAAAAATAAAAAAGAGAGAGTTTTATTGTTGAAGAGGTTGTCAATTAGTTTTATTTTATTATTCTTATATTTTGGTGTAAAATTTCCTAGCATACAACGTGTCCGATAAAGTTGTTGGTTGAGATATTTCATTTTACATGATAAAGACGTGTGCTTGAAACATGGCATAGTTCTACACGAAGTCCAATACCTTTATCCCCCTTTGTATAGAGTTTTGTTATCTAAAATAACTTATGAAGGCAATAATTTTTTTTATAGCGCATGTGTATGCATAAACAAGGCAGAGGCAAAAAAAACTAAGTGAATGTGATTTTTATAATATTGTCTTCCAAAAAAAAAATTGCAGCAATTTAACAAGGTAGGATAATGAGTTGCAGTTGTTTTTGTCAAATTATTATACTTATAAAGTTAAAGATATTATACGAAATGTACGATATAACTATTTAGTACCAAAGATATGATATGTATTGAACTCTTACTAATTTCTAAAGATGTGATGATAGTATGATATTTGGACACATGATTTAAATAATTTCATTTGGGATTACACCATTATTTTCGTGTCCTATGAGTAATCGCATGTACACCCTTTTCCCCTACTCTCACAGATTAGAAGGGATCGTGCTGGACCATGGCGATTTGATGGTGTGATTGTGCCTTGTTTTGCTAAAGAAAATCTAAAAATTTAACACGTAACTTTGTTTCTTTTAACTTTAATTGCAATAAACATTATTCATATTTAAATTCTCATACATGTTTATTTGAATATGAATATGTTTAGATTGCACTTTTGATCAAAAGATTGAATTTAATTGTTTAATGTAATGGTTTTATTGTCTTTTCCCCATTTCCATTTTTAAATTAATTGTTTAGTTGGTTTTCAAACACGTTAAATTACAATTGTTTATTTCTAGTAAATTTGGATTTCAAAGAATGTGCGAGTTAGTAGTTAAAATTGGTTAATTATATAAAATATGTGGATGAAAATAAAATTTTACCATTGTATAAATAAATTTGGTAGCGATTTAAATTTTTAAAATTTGGATCATTATACATTGATATCAGAGCTTAGATTTTACTTTTTTGTAGGCTCATAAATTCTAAAAGTTCAAACGAATTGTGTAACAAAAAATGAAAAAGAAAAAAAATCTCCATGCACGTCACTGTTCATCGTGAACAGTGACATCGTGAACACTGCATGTCAATGTTCACGCGAACAATTTAAAAATTCAGAAAAAATAATAATAGTAAAATATATTTTAAATGATTGTTCATATATTGTCTATTTTAAGTTCTTAAATAGGTAAACATTTGGAAGATCTTTGGCACTCAATGAATATATATATTGCATAACTTAATCTTTTAAATTGCCTACTTTTAAATTTTTAAGACATATACATTTTCTTGTTAAATTCATGATATGTATTATTATAATATAGGTATAACATTTTAGGCTTAATATTGGTACATGACTTAATATTAATTTTTAGGAAATGGTACCACCTACCCATACGAATTTGATGCGTGACTTATTGTGAACAGTACGAGAGTTTAGCAGGTAGAATCAAGTACCTCTACTACAAAATGCACCACCACAGCAAAACATACCTCCATTTGTCCCTAGAGCTGTTTCAGTGGTTGAGCAATTTTGTAGGTACAGGCCTCTTATTTTCAACGGTGTTTTTGACCTACTGGTTGTTTAAAAATGGATTAGAGGTCTGAAGTGTATCTTTCGATACATTGCTTGTACTGATGCACACAATGTAATATGCACAAAATTTATGTTTGTTGAAGCAATTAATCATAGGTGGGAGTTTGTCTCATGCACTAAGACCAAAGAGCTACAGCGTAACTTGACTTAGGAGTAGCTTAAGGATGAAATGATGGCGAAGTACTTTTCACAGGCTTTAAGAGACTTCAAGGAACCAAAGTTTCTACAACTCAAACAAGGAAACTTATTGCTTACTGATTACAAGAGGCAATTTGAGCAGCTCTCAAAGTATGCCCCGCACTAGATAGATACAATAGTTAAGAAGATCTGGAGGTTCGAAAATAGACTACGCCCAGATATTGGCATGATCATCATGTCTCATCATTTCACTTCATATCATGAAACGCTAGAGAGAGATCATGTTGTTTCATATTAGAGGACTACCTTTGAACAGTATGTCTAGTAGGGCAATGAGTCATTGGGAAAAAGAAAGTGAAACGATTAAAGTAAGGATAAGCGTAACTGGAAGAATAAAAGACCAAACACAAGAGTTCATATCAGTGGGACGAGTGTGTGTATTACACCTTGTTCTAAGTGTAATAAAATCCACAACGGTGAATGCTTACTTAGGAAAAACATGTGTTTTAGGTGTAGCAAGTCGGGATACATTGCTCTTAACGATATAGAGCCTCTAAAGAAAAAGAATGATGATCAGGACAAGAACAAGAAAGGGAATGTCCGTCTTTTTGCAATAAATCAACATGAGGAGGAACAGGATTCAAATGTGATAGCATGCATTTTATTATTATTTGAAGTACCTGTTTATGTTCTTGATTTTGTATCCTTTATCGCTAAGTCTAACAAGATAATTACGAAATAGGTACTCTATTATTATCTGATGTATCTACTCATGTATTTATTGACTCTGGGGCTACAAATTATTTTATCTCTACATCCTTCGTCCCTAGGTTTAACTTTACATGTGAGAAAATGAATAATGAATTAGAGGTTAGAATCCCTTCAACATGAACTCTTAGTACAAATAA